GCCGAAGGTGCCCGGTTATGACGTCACGACTCATCTGCGCCGAAGGTAGCCGGTTGTGACGTCACGACTCATCTGCGCCAAAGGGGGCCGGTTATGACGTCACGACTCATCTGCGCCGAAGGTGCCCGGTTGTGACGTCACGACTCATCTGTGCCGAAGGTGCCCGGTTATGACGTCACGACTCATCTGCGCCGAAGGTAGCCGGTTGTGACGTCACGACTCATCTGCGCCGAAGGGGGCCGGTTATGACGTCACGACTCATCTGCGCCGAAGGTGCCCGGTTGTGACGTCACGACTCATCTGCGCCGAAGATGGCTGCTCTGAGGACGGTCTCCGGTTACACCGGGATGATTTTGTTTTGTTTTCTGTGTGCGATCGCGACAGCGAAAGGCGAGGAGCAGGTCCCTCTGGTCGCCTGGGCCAGTGATGGGTAAGATGGTAGTATATGAGTGCAGTCGTGGAGATGTGAGGGCGAGAGTTAGCTTTGGCGGTGTGCTGGCTGGATGAGACGGTCGCTGTCCAGTCCTGAAAACCCGTGGAAACACTTCAATATGAGCGTTAAACATTTATGATGATGGCTATCTCGAAAGCTAGTAACGTTAAACTGTCAAGGCAACACTTTGGCCGTCAAGATGTTTAGAATCTGCGTTTGTGTGTTTGTCAAAGTTATACTCCTGATGGTCATGATATGTGTTTGTCTAGCCCTGTGCTCTTCTAATGTGTTGTGTGTAGGTTTGCCTTGTCTCCTGTGAGTGCTCCATCAGCGGGTCACACTGTGTCTGTGGAGGAGCTGGAGTCACACCTGAACACAGCGCTGAGCACTGTGCCACATAACCTGCTGCTCTTCCTGCAGGATAGAGTATGCACTATATTCAGAACTCACAGGTTTATATCGTTTGCTTTAGTGTGCCAATGGGGAATTATTTGTGCAGCTCAACTGCTTTTTGTGGCACATCATTACTGTTTTGTCTTTCCCACAGAATTGATTGACTGTAGGAATTGAACCCCAGGGTGGCGATATTAGTGCAGGACACACACACACATATATATACAGTGGGTACGGAAAGTATTCAGACCCCCTTACATTTTTCACTCGCAAACTTATCATCAATATAAAAGACAAAAATAAATGAAAACAAAAGAAAGAAAATAAAGCGTGGAAAAAAATTCTAGGCATATACAGTTTCTGTTGTCCACTTGTTACAGAGCACATTAATACTAGGTGTAAATGAGGCCAGAGAGATAGTATAATTATCACAATATCACAAATGGATGCACATTTCTAAATGAATTACTGCTGGCATTCCTGATGAGTTTTACATTTACATTTACATTTAGTCATTTAGCAGACGCTTTTATCCAAAGCGACTTACAATTGGGGGATACATAAAGCGATTCTTCTTAAAGAGACAAACAGACACAAGAAGTGGTTGTAATACCAAGTTCTTAGACATTGTTCAAATAAGTACAAGCTAGAAAGAGAAGGAACAAATAAAGAGAGATACTTTTTTTTATTTTTATTTTTTATGATGAAGTCAAGTAGCTTCGAAAGAGATGAGTTTTCAGCTGTCGCTTGAAAATTGTCAGGGATTCAGCATTCCGGATAGGGGTGGGAAGATCGTTCCACCAGCCAGGAGTGGTGAACGAGAATGTTCTGGAAAGTGATTTTGAGCCTCTCTGTGATGGTACCACGAGGCGTCGCTCACTAGCGGATCTCAGACTTCTGAAGGGGATGTAAATTCGTAGTAGTGAGTGGAAGTAGGCGGGTGCTGAGCCTTTACTGAAGACAACAATCTGAAGTGCCATGAGGCTAGTTGAGGTAGTGCTAATCTTATTGTTTGAATTCTGTGTTTCATTCAGTTGAGTGTCGATGACTTCACATTGTATGGAGGAGTCTTTGGAAACAAACCGGATAGTGTCTTCCAAAATCTTGAGGTATGTTTTTGATGTCTTTTCCATCTATCACTGCTTATGATACTTATTACTTCTTATGTTTTTGACTTTAATTAACTTAAAGGAAGTTGTTAATAATATCAACTGAGATTTCAGTTGTTTTTTTTTACTTTGAAAAGTGCTTGTTAGCTCAAAGATTCAAAAGCAGCTCTCAGGTTTTGTTGATGTATGGCTGTGGCATGTTCAAAAGCGGCTCTGCTGTCCTCCTCCTCCTTGTGGTTGCCATCGGTGTCATCGTCCGCCACTGCTTTGGTTTCTACACTGCTCCAGAACCAGATTGATGCGGCTCCTCTCTACATGAACCCAGACACGCTTGCTCAAATGCGCCTCAATGCTTCTGTTGCTGCCTTGCTGGTCTTCCGCCTCCCTTACAGCGGCGGGTAATCAAATCTCTGACACTGGCTGGAGTTCAGAATGAAATCAATACTGTACACTGACTAGTTTTTCTTTAAATACTATGTGAACTAATACATTATGCAATTGGATGTTCCAAACAGTATTATGCTACGTTGCCACATTAATGCAATTTAGTGAGTGCTTTCCAGTTATCATCTTAAAAAATTGTTTTTTGTTTTATTTATTTTTACATTAAAGGGGTCATATGATGCTTTTTTAAAGATCATTATTTTGTGTATTTGGTGTAACAGAATATGTTGACATGCTTTAATGTTAAAAAAACACATTATTTTTCAAATACTGTACATTATTGTAGGTCCTCTATGCCCCGCCTCTCTCAAACGCTTCGTTTTCTACAAAGCCCCGCCTTCCGACAAGCGCAGTCTGCTCTGATTGGCCAGCTGACCCAGTGCATTGTGATTGGCCGAGCACCGCAAGCACTCGTCGGAAATGTAACTCCCCTTACCATAATCACGAGCTTCATCTTTCAAAATAAATGTAAAGACAGAGCCCGAAAGGGGAACAGAGTCGCGTGACAGACACAGTGATGAAGCTGGTGTGTGTTTGTGATGTGCCCCCCCCCCCCTCTCTCTCTCTCTCTCTCTCGCTCTCTCTCTCTCGTGCTCTCTCTCTCGCTCGCTCGCGCGCACACACACACACACGATGTACAAAACTCAGCATTTGAACAGTCAATAGCAAATACTTAAACTAATAGCAAAGCAGTAGCTGATTCAGAAGCGCCAGACTGTCATAGCAAAGTCAGAATTACCTCCTCTCCTAGGTTCATGAAACGGTCGTCCATAAAATGCATTGCTGTTCTGTTGTAAGTAATCTTAAAGATTCCTAAATGCATCTACTTCCGGAAGGCCAAATAAAGTGCTTTTGCTTTCTCCTAGAAACACACAGCGTCGCCCTGACATGCTGCTTCAACACTAACTGCAGTTACTGAAACCACGCCTTCTTTCTTTGCGTGTACATTTTCAGCGTCATTATGCAAATATTTCCACATAGTGAGGTAGATATGTGGGGGCGTGTTAGAACGAGGCGTTTTAGGGGGGCGCGGCAGAGTCTTAACTTTTATAAAGAATATCTCTTTGGTTTTGAGACTTTAGTCTTTGCAACTTCAGGGATCTTATCTATGCACAATCAGCTTGTAACACTCCAAAGAGAAAGGAAAACTTGAAATCGCATCATATGACCCCTTTAAGTTTATTTACAAAGTCTTTTGCCAGTGCAGGGTAGTGTCACTAAAGTGGTTTATGCTGTCAATGCTGAATGCTGAAATGCATGAAGAAGATATAAATAGATTTCTCTTCTATTAACACCTTCTGCAACTAATGATGGAAATAAGCACATATCAAACTGTGGGACATTTATGGGATCTCACTATATTTTAAGGCAATAGGATATGCACATACTTTGTAACAGAAAGGATTTATTACAGCACTGACATGAGGTTAAATGCATGAAATAATTAATACTAAATAATAATAAAACCATTAATTGTAGCCAGTGTATGTTACCTTAATTACCTTGGATATAGTGAGTGAACGATAGAGAAAGAGATAAAGTGTCTTATGAAATCCATATAGTAAAGAGGATGAGAGAGGCAGAGCTGAAAAATGAGAAAAATCCAAGAACAGACTTTTTTAAAACCTTAAAATGAACTCTTGATCTAATGAGGACTGTGTCTTTTTCTTGCAGTGATATGATGTCTACTAAAGAAGTGCTCAGCGGAAACGGTACGTGTCCTATTTCAAAAGCGTTGTGCTCTATAACAATTATTATTATTGTAAAACAAGCTAAGATGCTAATAGAATGACGTGTTTTCCTGCAAATGAATGGCATTATGTTGTTTGCTGTAGATGAGGTGATTGGTCAGGTGCTGAGCATCATGAAAGCTCAGTCTGTGCCATATACCGCAGTGTTTACTGCACTTTGGCCCTCAAGGGTAAGACTTCTCTGCAACTATCCTGTATGCACGTACACACCTTCAGGTAGGGTGGGTAGTGTGACCAAAATCTTATTGTAATTTTAGATTACTGTACTGGTATACACGACAGTCATTTTATCATTATTGGAAATTCAACTGAAAATGGTTTATATGCTAATAATAAATTCCTTACTTTAGTTAAATACTTTTCATGTAAGTTACTTTGTCTCAGTTTATTTATTTTTTATTTGAAATAAATTAAATGACTTAATGGAACGCTAACAAAAACTTTAAAGCTTAGCACGTAACACATTAAGTAGCGCTTGAAAACGAAAGAGTAAAACTAATCATTGAAAAGGAAAAGTTTCCCACTGTAATATCAAGTTCAATGAGTCACATTTGAAAATTTGCCCACATAAAATGGACAGATTTGAATTCAAAAGAGATTAATTTTTCAACTACCAAAATAGTTTTCACAGGTGCTCATGATGTGCACTGAGACTCTGCATCTGACAGGCAGGGAGTGCTTTTCTGGAGGACTGCATGCGTACAATACCTATGACTGCACAGCTGTTTAATTTTTTAATGTTTAATGTGAGCACAGTAAATTGAAGGTGGCTTGTGTTCGTCTCAGGTGATAGAGGAGGTGGCTCCAGCTGTGCAGTCTGTCTGGTCACGATCCCTATTGCAGTCCCGTCGTGAGGAGCCTACCGCTACGAACCCGCCTTTGGAGTTTAAGGAGAAGGGCTCCACCTGCATCCTCTTGTGGGCGGAGAAGCTGGTGGTCAGCCAGTATCGCTCAGAAAAGTGGGAGAGGCATGACCTTGCCCCCAAAACCTTCGGTGAAGATGTGGAACCCAACCTGTCTGGATCATCCTGCAATGAGACTCACTCCCTGTAAATAGTGCTCAACTTCATGTGAAGTTTAAGTGAAAGGGACCATTTTCTACGGTATTTGATTTTTTCCCCTGATGGCCACTTCTAATGTTAGTTTCAGGATAGTTATTATCTCATCATTAGTGTTGACAATTTTCCACCCTTTTTTGATGATTGCTAATCATGTGAAAATAGTAACAGTGCCCCACCATACTAAATAGCCATTGACATGTAAATCTGACCAATCGCATTCTTATTTGCACTGTGGGAGTTGGCCTTCAAGGTTTGGACCATTCACAGTAGAGCAAAGAAGGGGGCTTTAAATTGCTCTCTATACTCTTGTATAGTACACTGTTTGATAGGGGTGTGAATCTTTAGGCACCTCATGATCTGATTCAGATTCTGGCAAAAATAATTCTTAACATAATTGAATGCATTCACACTAATGCAATGATCTATTTGCACGTATCAGATATTTCGTCCTGTCCTTAAGACATAAATTACGGATTACATGTTTACATTTTTACATGTTTACATTTATTTTGTATCAGATGCAATTGTAAATTTGGAGATTCAAGTGCATTAAACCGCGAGTTACGCACAGCTGCTTGCTGTGAGCGTCCTGTCTCTAGTGCACACAAGTGCACTTGTGCATATGCAAAAACAGTAATATTCTGTCATACGGCTCGCTAGTTTAGTGCAAGTAGTTGTGCAAGTAGTCCATTCCCTCTTCTTGCCAGAAGCTTGTTCAGATTCACTTGTTTACATTTATTCATTTAGTAGACTATATTAGTGGAATAATGAAGGGAATAGTAAATGAGGGTATAGGGGTCCATTTTTGAGACAGCAGGGGTTACACTGTGTCTGCGCTGGACCAGACTGTTTACACTAGATGCGTGATGCAATGATGCTCCGACATTGAATCAGTGCCCTTTTCTATTTCTCACATACTCCATGGACTTGCAATACTTATGACAACCGTAAAAATGGATTGGAACTTTCGCTTTGAAAGTGTTATGCAATTAACGTATAATTGTATATGTTGGCAGTTCATAACCACAGTTTTCTCTTGAAATACAGGTTGGTTCTGAATTATGAAGACGTCTTGAATTACCGTTCTTTTAAACTCATGTAAGTGTCTTATTTTCTCATTTACACACACACACACACACACACACAATCTCTGTGTTCTATATCTCTCTGTGTTGGGCTTGAACTGTGTTCTGTATTCTCCTCAGTTTTGTAATGAACCGCCGTCACTATAAGGTTTCTGCCCGCCATTGGTTCACCATGGATCTGGTTCATCTGGAGTATGATGGGAAAACTGCCACGTTCAATGGCAGCCGTTACATCTATGCCCCGGCTGAGTACTCGTACCGCTGTGAGTCCGTGAGCAGTTCTCGCTACCCTCAGCTGTCACCCCACTCGGACAAGGACAATGCCAATGACTGGCAGATCTCTTTTGATGACTTCCAGGTAGGTTCTGAAACAATGAAACCAAAGACAACTAGACTTCATGGTTCCTATGGTCTAAAGTCTCTAGTAAACATTTTCTATATTAAAATAAAAATTGTATTGTTATGCTTGGCTTAATTTTTTTTTTTTTTTAATTAGAAATTGCTTTTTGTTAGTGCAATCTACTGTATATAGAATGATTTTTTTTTTAATTACACCCAGTAATCTTGACTGGAAAAGTAATAAGGCATGGGGAGTCTGAAGTGTGCTTTGCACACATAGGCAGGCAACATAACCAAAATGTAAAGGTCACATATTTTACACCTTTCTGGAGTTTTATTTTAAGTCTTGATGTCCTAAAGGATATATATTTGTGGTATTAGAACCAAAAACCATCTCAATATGTTTTTACAGCTCCTCTCTCAGGAGCTCTGCAAAGAACAGGTCGATTCTGGCCTGTCTAGGCAAGGCAAGTTTATTTATATAGCACATTTAATACACAATGCTTTACATAATTGATTTAATAGGTTTAAAATTAATTTAAAACAGTTAAGAATATAAAATGATTATACATAAAATATAGTGCAATCAGTTCGGACATTGCACAGTGCTCATTCAATAAATGCACAGCTTTTTTAGCACATCTGCTCTCTTTTCTGGAAGCTGATTCCAGCTGTGGGCGGCATAATAACTAAAAGCACATTCCCCTTGTTTTGTGTGAACCCTTGGTATTTCTAACTGACTCGATCCTAATGATCTGAGTGGTCTGTTAGGTTTATATTCAGTGAACATATCTGCTATGTATTTAGGTCCTAGGCCATTGAGTGATTTATAAACGAGTAAAAGTACTTTAAAATCAATCCTAAATATAACTGGAAGCCAGTGTAAGGACCTGAGGACTGGACTATGCTCCGATTTTCTGGTTCTAGTCAGAATTCTGGCAGCAGCGTTCTGGATGAGCTGCAGCTGTCTAATGGTCTTCTTGGGAAGGCCGGTGAGGAGACCATTACAATAGTCCACCCTGCTGGTGATAAAGGCATGAACAAGTTTCTCCAAGTCTTGACTGGAAACAAAACCTCTAATTCTTGCAATGTTTTGAGATGATAGTATGCTGATTTAGTTACAGCTTTGACATGACTACTGAAACTAAGGTCTGTCTCCAGAATCACACCAAGATTCCTGACTTGATTTTTAGTTGTTAGACCTCTAGAGTCAAGGTATGCATTCACCTTGAGAACTTCATCTTTGTTTCCAAATGCAATGACTTCAGTTTTTTCCTTGTTTAACTGAAAACAGTTCTGGCACATCCAACTGTTAATTTCATCAATGCATTTGCAGAGGGAGTCAATGGGGCTGTAGTCATTTGGCATAGCTGTGATAGGCAATTCGGTTCTTTCTCATTATTTGCCTTAGTGGGAGCATATACAGGCTAAACAAGAGAGGTGCAAGAATTGAGCCTTGTGGGACTCCGCATGTCATGGACGTCCACTTAGACTTATACTCACATAATAACCTCTCCCTTCTAAGTATGACCTGAACCATTTGATTACCATCCCAGAAAGCCCGACCCAGTTTTCCAGTCTCTCTAGTAGTATGTTAGTTATGTCTAATTAATATTCATGAGCCTCTCTTCTGATTGGCCTGTTGTTTTCTGAGTGACGCACGGCCAGGCCAACCACTGGTAACTAGGGTCATGTATGCTGTAGCCTGCTGTGGATTGGTGATACTCACAAGTAAAGTCAATAGAAACACCGGTAATGATGGTCACTGTTGAGGGAAATGTTGTCTGGCCTTACATGTTTGAGTCGAACTCAGACCCCGAATCGGCGACGACAGGAGACAACCAACCACCTCCTCAAACACGCTTACAACAGGATGTTTCAGAATGGTAATTAATTAAAAAAAAAAATTCAAACACCGAATGCAGTAAATAAATACAAACCTGACCAGCCGAGCGTTTGCGATCACGTGAACTTGAAGACACTTGTACAAATGCGGATGGGTGACATGAATGGAAATGATTCCAGATTGGCGATGTAGTATTTGGTTTCTGTATTCTGTACTGTATTTTCCTGCACTCAACCCTGCCAATCTAAAGGATCAAACGCTATGTATGGCGTTTGAGGTAATTTATGAGTTAGCATAGACTTATAGTCTGAATAAAACAACTGTTTTATTGCAACTGTTACTATTATTACACTTGTATACAAAACTTTGTATTATGCTTGTTATAGAGTGTGTGATGTCACGTGCACTACCGCCGGTGGCAATAGACAACGGTTGATGCGGTTGTCATGGTGACTGTCACAGCCCTACTGTGCAATGATGTAGTTTCCTGGCATCCAGACTGAACAGCATTTTCTCGACATGTTTCCGTGTTGTTGTTGCTCAGCAATGGCATGGACGCAATGTTGTCTGGGGGTTTGGCAAAAGGAGAGTGGGACTGTGGGCAGTGCTCGGGGTGGTGACTGAAGGCGGTGACTGAGTAGTTCTGACGTCACCTTTTTACAGAAGTCACAACTCATGATCTGATTCAGATTCTGGCAAAAATAATTCTTAACATAATTGAATGCATTCACACTAATGCAATGATCTATTTGCACGTATCAGATGTTTCGTCCTGTCCTCCGGATCTCGATTCATACGTAAATGCGATCTCATTTCTAAAGGATGGCAATTCACTTGCATGTATTTCCCTGCATTCATATCACACTGCATTCACGTGTTCACTTTACTACAATCCAAGATGCCATATTAGTCAAACTTATTCGTCACAATGACAAAAATATTAATTGTCAAAAGATTGAAGCGATATATTTTTTGTAGTATCCTTTCAACGTTTAAGGGTATTTCCCACGTCAGCATTGTTCAATGCATTGAATCAATGCCATAGATCTCTATGAAGTGAAATATTAGCTTCAGCCTTACTAAGATGATGTGTTGCTGGTCGATTGTTCAAAGAATTGTGATCTCAATTGATCTCAATGCATATGCTTGTAGAAGTTGTCAATGATATAGTTGTTATAGTTATAGTTTACTTTAACTAGTTTTCGTATAGTTACTTCACTAATAGTTAAGTTCCCTTTCAGTTGGTCACTTCGACGGGGTTGCACTTGGGAACCCAGACACCACTGACATCATTGAGAAAAGGCAAATGAAATTAGAGAGCAGGCCACACACCGGACATCCGGGTATAAATAGGCCAGCGCAGCATTTTCTCACTCGTTCTGTTCTTCGGAGCCGATGCAGCGTCTCTTTGGGAGATGCATTCACCTCTCAATCTCCTTATTGTTGGATCTATGGCACAAGCAGCAGTTTTTCCCTTGCCCATACACAGATAAGTGTAAAGAGCAATTTCTCTAAAAGAGCTTCACAGACAGATTTGTGTGTTTACAACATGCCTTTCTTTGTACATCTCACCCTCTGACAGACACAATTGCTGTGGTCAGTGTTTGGGCCATGCCCATGCTGAAGCAGCTTTTGTGGATGGTTTATGTCCTTCTTACCTGTCATCAGGATGCTAAGAATCCACAAAAGGCTTCAAAGCAAACTTGGGACACACATTCTCTGTCTCTTCATGTTCTGATGCAACAGGTGAGTCATCGAGTTACTATGACTCCAGAACTCCAGTTCCCGCATCCTTCAGTGACTTCATTAACAGATCTGACGGACAAGACACTGCACACCCCAAATGACGTATGTCCTCTGCCACTGTGACTTCTGTTTCTCAAAGCCACAGGAACCCTGCCCCAGGTATGTTGAACATAGTTCCACGGAGATTGTTAGCAAGGTGTCTGGACGCTTGGTTGAAGCTCCCCAGCCCTTTCTGATGGCTCCTCAGGACCGTTCGGCTCTGCTATGTGATTCGGTTTGCCAGGAGTCTGCTGAAGTTCATTGGCATTCTGTTTACCTCTGTGCGAGACAAGAATGCTGCTGTTCTCTGGCGAAGGGCGCAATAGAGCTTGTCCCCCCGGCCAAGATGAATAAGGGGTTTTACAGCCCCTACTTCATTGTACCCAAGAAGGTTGGGGGACTCAGACCAATCTTGGACCAAACGGTGCTGAACCGGGCCTTTCACAAGCTCTTGTTCAGAATGCTAACCCTCAAACACATGTTAACATGTGTCAGGTACTGAGATTAGTTCACGGCAATAGACCTGAAGGACGCATGCTTTCATGTTTCGATCCTTCCAAGACTCAGGCCATTTCTTCGGTCTGCCTATTTGTACAAAGTTCTTCCCTTTGGGAGGTCCCTGTCTCCTCGTGTCTTCACGAAAGTCGCGAAGACTGCCCTTGCCCCTCTTAGAAAAGTGGGCATTCGCATTCTCAACTCAATGACTGTTTTTAGTCCACAGAAGTCCAGAGACTCCATCTCAATTACTGTTTTTTTTTCTAGTTCACTCGTGAGAGTTGGTTTGCACAGAAGGACATAGTCTTCAACCACCTAGCCCGATTAGGACTTCGGGTCAACTGAGAGAAGAGCAAACTCTCCCCTGTGCAGAGTATCACTTTTTTCGGTGTAGATTTGGTCTCGGTCACTATGACAGCACACCTCTCAGAGGATCATGCTGGGTTAGTGCTGAACTGCTTGAGAATTCTCAAGTACAGAACAGCGGCCCCTCTCAATTACTTTCAGGGGCTCCTGGGATATTATAAATATTTCACAGTATTTTTCACAGTAAATATTTCGCAGTATAGTAATTATTTCTGTGTGGCTTATTTTTATACAGAGCCATTAACTAATCGAAATTAAAGCCATACCTGATATTTCTCAACAACATTACTTAAATGATTGCTGATTAAATTTGAAAAATGTTGAGCTCTCATCAGACTTAATTGATTATATTCACTTAGGCCAATTGTATTTTCATTAATACTTTTTGAGAACCACTTATTCCCACTTAGACCAAAACTGACTAATTTTTTTATTACTCTTGTTTAATCACACTTGGCATGAAAAATGAAGGTTAGGATTTGCTTTGTTGAGATCATGAGTATGACACCTGTACCATGGTACAGGACTTTTCTCTCTAACTTTTTTTTTTACCTGATGGGGCAACCGTATCTAGAGTGCTAGATAAGATATTGGTCATGTTACTAGTCACTACATCAAGTTCAGCTGTATTTACAGGTACACTGAGCAACAGAGACTGATCATTCTACCCGGTTAATAGTAATGTATTACAACATGAATAATCTCAGCCATTATCCATTATCCACTGCAGCAGTATACATTTGCAAACACAATGTAACAATATTTTCAACACCACAAAAATCAGGAATTTTCTGTGTAAGTCCCAAAAAGCAAACCTTAGACAAGTGGTTCTCAACTGGTTTGGCCATGGGGCTCACATTTTCTCAAGGTCATCAAGCCGCGACCCCCTTTGTTAGGAAATATATTTATATATAATTTGGTAAAAAAAAAAAAAGCTAATTTATTTCACAAATAACACACACACAAGGTCCCCCTTTCCTTAACATACACATAAATTGTAAGAATACGACTAATACTGAATAATAAACAGCCTATAAGGTAAGGTTAGTCCCAAACTAGTTTGTTAATACAATTAGGTTGGTATGAGCCACCACAGTCATTTAAGCATGTACAAAATAACACACTGTGAAAATAACATGGCATTTTTGGGTTATTAAAGCAACAGATACCATGGTGAATAATAATATCATGAACTGTTAATGAAACATGGAAACTGCTCTTGAATAGAATGAATATCTTACCTTCATGCAAATCTTTCCCAGCTAACACACGAAGTAGCAGTTATTTGTATTATTGGTGTTTGACTTTTATTTCACACGCTGCATGCTCATATTTCTTTTGCACTTTAGTGAAGTGATATACAGTGTGCGCCGCCGCATTTGCACGTGCAATTGAAGAGAACTTGCTACGAGCACATAACATCTGACAGGACAGGATAGTTCGCTTTTCTGAGGTGAGAGACTTTTTATTTCGTAACAAGTTACGAAAATAATGATAGAATAATGACACTGACCTGACAACATCTTATCTGGTTTTTCTCAGGTGCTCTTTACCTAAACTGCATCTGACAAAAGTGTCAACAGCTTTCACACGTCTTTCAAAATAAAAGTCTCGCATCAGAAAAACATTTAGAATTTAGTTTTTTGTTGTTGATGTTGTTTCTTTGACTGTACACTCCACGACCCACTCAGAGCGGTCTTGTGACCCACTTTTGGGTCGCGACCCACACTGTAAGTGTAGTATGTAAGAAATGTAAGAAAATGTTTCTTAATAACATTTTATGTACTTGCAATTTGTTCAAAGGGAGCCAGGTTTCCATTTTATATGAAAGGATTAGTTCACTTTCAGAATAAAAATTACCCAATTTTCTAACCCCCATGTCATCCAAGATGTGTATGTCTTTCTGTCTTCAGTCGCAAAAAAAATTAAGTTGAGAAAAACATTCCAGAATTTTTTTCTCCATATAATGGACTTAAATGGTGGTTTCAATGCAGCTTCAAAGGGCTCTACACCATCCCAGCCAAGGAATAGGGGTCTTATAGAGTGAAACGATCTGTCATTTTCTAAAAAAATTAAAATGTATATTAGGGCTGTGCGATTAATCGAAATCGGCATAAAATCGCGATTTGAGCATGCGCGATTTCTAAATCGCTTTATAGCACGATTTTCCGCGCCCCCGACCTCCCGCAGTATGCTATCCGAACAAATCAGAATGCAGTGCGCCTAAATGGAGCACGAGAACAGAACAGACCGGGCGGGCATACAAACGTAACGCATACAAACGTAACGGAGGTTCACACACTCCTTCTGTGGTGCGGATTTTCTCTGCGCCCATGTTAACGGATCAGAGCGTTCACACTGCATGCGATTGCGGTCCGGCAGTGCGCTCTAGGAGCGGTGCGTCTGCAGCAGTCATGTTGCTATCGTTTCCGCACGGAATCTATTTCTGCTGTGCTGCACGCACTGAATTAATGTGACAGTGCATTATTCGCTGTAAAAATTAACATAGATTGACACGGAAATTTAGTAATTACACCATAAATGCATATAATTAAAGTCTACTGTTTCACAGTCAACACATGGCTTTGTGGCTAGATTTAAAACAAGGAAAAGTGCACTTTTGGATAAACAAGGCAATAATAGATGGCACTCGTGGTGGTAGTTATATTTATTGAGTTTAAACATGAATATGTCTATGAAAGATTGTATTACTGTACTGTGATAAAAGAGAATCACAATGCTGAAAAAGCATTTTCAGAAATAACGTTTGGATTTGAAATGGACAAAATAATGGACAAATGTTGTGTTTGTGGTAAACAGCCATGGATCAGGAGCGGACTGCAAACGCGTCCTGTGCGAAAGCAAAATGAGTCCATGCTGTTTCTGCAACGCATGCACATAGGCTGTATACGCACTGCAGACAGAGTACGTGTGAACTTGGTGCAACAAATCTAGTTCAACATCTGAGGCAACATCACAGAGCTCTATGACCAATGCATGGCAAAAAAAATCCCTGGACATGGGATTTTTTTTTCCTGCCATATGTCTATTCTAGAGACATTTTGTTACACTTTTACTTAGGGATTATTTTGCCTTATGTCTGTTCTTTTTGATAAAGCTCTATTTGGTTTTCTTTTGGAAATATGTTTCAAAAATTCACACTGAATGCATTTATGACTGTAAAGCATGTCTGTGTGTGTCAAAACCGTGATTAAAATCGAAATCGCAAAATTGGTCAAAGAAATCGCGATAGGTTTTTTTGTCCATATCGCACAGCCCTAATGTATATGCTTTTTAACCACAAATGCACGTCTTACACTAGCTCTGCGATGCACGTCCGCAAATTCACGCATTACTTAATCACTCACGGTTAGCTCTTTGTCTGTCTACTCCAGTTCAAAAAGGTAGGGTAGGGTAAAAAAATCTAATTTTCTCCTCCAACTTCAAAATCATCCGACTTTGTTGTTTTACCTTTTTTTGTAAAAGGCATTTATCTTTTTTTGCACATTCGCTTTGTAAACACTTGGTCGGTATTTCTGCCTACATCACACATGACCTTTCCAACGTGACTATGTAAATTAAAAATTTTTAAGAAATTGACTGATCGTTTTGCTGGATAATACTCCTATTTGTCGGCTGGGATCGTGCAGAGCCCTTTGAAGCTGTATTGAAACTTCAATCTGGACCTTCAGCCCGTTGGTCCCCATTGAAGTCCATATGGAGAAAAATCCTGGAAGGTTTTCCTCAAAAACCTTAATTTCTTTGTGACTGAAGAAAGAAAGACATGAACGTCTTGGATGACATGGTGTGAGTAAATTATCAGGACATTTTTATTCTGGAAGTGAACTAATCCTTTAAATCTCCTATAACACAAATCCCTCGGTTTTTCCAAAGTGCCATCCCCCATTCATACCCGGAGGACTTCGTTCTTTAAGGTTGTCAGGAGTGGACTAGCATGAGACATATTCTATGTGCGATGCCTGTGGCCAGATTCTTTTCCAGTGTGTGACCTGCTTTTGAATAGCACGCAGTGGGCAGTCCACAATAAAGTTGTTTTATAAGATTTCCATAATTTTAATCAAATTCTAATAACTTACTCCACTTCTTAAATGACTAATGTTACGTCAGCAGGGATATATTTCCCAGCAAAATAATCTCACCCAATAATGTAATAGCCAAAATTTGACAACCCAAATTAAATCCTGATAGTTCAAATCAAGTTCCATCTTACATTGATTTCCATTAAATATCATATTTGACTCAACAAAATGAAAGCCAGGTGAAACCCTGGAATGGTATTTAAACAGGAATCTGTCTTTCTCTCTCATGTGACAGATCCAGGGCTTTAATGTGGGTGGGAAGGATTTCTCTTACGCCAGTGACTGTGCTAGTTTCTTCACTCCTGGTATCTGGATGGGGCTCGTCACATCTCTTCTCATGGTGCTGGCTCTCACTTACGGCCTGCACATGATCATGCAGCTGCGCACCATGGACCGCTTCGACGACCCCAAGGGTCCTGCCATCTCTGTTCCCCAGACGGAGTAAAAGACACAGAGCCAGTTTCCTTTCTCATCCTCACATCACTAGTGTTTACTTTGGTTATTGATTTTGCAAATGTTAATTTCTTGTTATTACATGTCATTGGGGTGCTGCTGTTTTTTTTTTTTGTTTTTTTTTTTGTGATTGTCATTCCTTTTAATAAGCATGTTTATGGTTGAATTTCAGGAATACATGTCTAGATAATATTTGAACAAATAAGATATATATATATACTGCATAAAGAAGGATAATTTTTAGGATGGTTAAGATTGTTTGCATTGTGACATTATTGTTGCAAGCACAAGCCCCCTTAAATTCACATTATGTTTTACTTTTGGGTTTTTCTTCATTTTTATTATTATGTCAGTGGTGATGCTCATTAGATTTGTATTACTGTAATACAAAGCATTTTATCTCAACTGCATAAGTTAAAGGCAGTACTATTATGATGAATAAATACTTTCCATTTCACCTTACAGTGTAAAACTTTTAATGGTACTAAAATAGTCTTTGACAAGTCTTGTGAGATTCATTCTTGTCTTCTGTGGACTAAAAATCTCTAAAAATATTTTTTCTTTTTTTTTTTGCAGTTTCAGAATAACCTTGTTGTATTCGCAAACTGAGGCACCATTTAATGTGAACTGTACACTTTTTTTGTGAACTGTACACTTTTCATTCTAAATTAATGGTATACGATAAATATCTGTTAACAGACAGCTTTGTGTTTTTTGTGCTATAACTGTAAATATGTGTAAGTTATCAGAATAAATATTATTTATTGGTGGTGTGCATGTATGTTTGCATCCAGTTTTTGTTTTTTAGCTTCTCTGCTGTTTCCCACATAGTTCTGTGGTCTGTTGCGAGTCCATAGATGTCTCTGTGTTGTTGTGAGAACTGACATGTTTTGACCACATGTAAATTTAGGCTTTGTTTTAAAGGAAAACATGTTGTGCACTGTATTTAAATATTAGGGGGGGGGAGAGTACCAGAAACATTCTCACATAAGTGAATCATTTGCACAAATAGCTCTCATAAGTAATGTTTCATGTTCATGGCACATGTCTGGTTTATACCTAAAAGCTTCATAAATAAAAGGTGATCTGTTGTAATGTTTTGGAGGTGTATGCTCTTGAATGTGTATATTGTGCCAGTGTTTAATAAACCTACTTGAGCCATAACCTTTGAAATTTACTTAAATTTGAATTATGTAGTTTTAGCTGACAGTTTGTGGTTATGCATGTTTATATGGTTATGGTACAGCTTCTTTGACAGCTATAATTCAATTTTGTGTTCATGATGATATCATGTCTATCCATAATGCATAAATATTATTTTCGGTTGACAGAACTATGCATGCGTATTTATTTACATTGTCATTGTAGTCCAGCTCATCCACTATGGTGAGCAAAGTCTCTAGTGTCAGCCTCCCCCTGACAGAGGGAAACGTACTACATGCTACACCAGCAGAACCAGTTCTTCTCTGGCTAAACAGTTTCAATTTTAACAAGCGTTAACAATATTAAGTGTCTTTGAGGCTTGTCTGCTAATGCAGAGGACGTTGATTGTGTTCCTAATTAGCTGTGGCAACTGTTCAGTCTTTGTGAGGTCAAACTTGGATTACTGGAGAGCGTTTTATTATCATTTTTCAGAGGGTGGTAATGCCATGGGAGGTCCAGACCCTACTGTACTTCTGTGGTCATACAAAGCTGGAGCAAAGTGTTGATCACAGGCCGGGCAGGCCTCTATGTCTTTATAAAGCTGGAAGTATTTATCCACCTTCAACAGATTGGCCCACACATTGATTGTGTTATAGATAAATATCACTATTTTGCGACTCCACTTTTCTTACATGCTTTAAATGATATGTGGAAAGAAAACCCATGTAATTAGTTTGTGTTCATCATTAGCATTTAGCAAAAATGCAAAATTAAGGTTCTCTTTCTTTCATTTAATTACCAGGTTACTCCTTTTAATATAGCCCATTCGCATTTAGAGATAGCATATCATAAACCAGAAAACGACACTCATTTTTTTTCTGACAAACTTGCAATCAAGAGGAAACATTTGTGACAATGAGGTGGAGCGACCACAAGGTGGTGTCCTTTAATCACCAATGAAAAAACAGAAAAAAGCAAACTATGAATTGTGGTGCAGAAGTTAGCACTAAGCCATAAATAGTCATTATTTATGACCAAAGCTCATTTTAACTCTGTACGCACCCTGTTCAGTATATTCCCTATCTGTACACTCTCAAGTCAGGAGGGGGATTAATATATCATTTCCCATAGCCATAATTCCTCTCTGCAAGCTGATAATGAACAGTCGGTTTACTGCTCAACATTTTCTATGCTTCAGGGTTAGACGGAAGTCAGCTCTCCTCTACCTCTGTTGCTCTCCTGAAAACCTCAGTTTCTCCTGGATTCCTTCCTGAAAGCCAGGTGTGCTCCCCTTCCTCTATTTGAACAGTAGCATCTTGGATTTTATGCTTATTTCAGTAGTCATCTCGTCCAACTGTTCTTTTAGATCCTGCTGAAAACTTGCCCAAAATGTAGTTCTTTTTTATTTCTGATTTCTAGTCACCCAACCCTTTAGTCATCATGGCTAAAATGGATGGGCCTCAAAAATGAAAGTTCTGTCAGCATTTACTCGCCCTCGAGTTTCTTCCTTCTGCTGAAAATAGAAGATATTGTGAAGAATGTGGAAACAACTTGAGGGTGAGTAAATGATGACAGAACTTTCATTTTTGGGGGAACTATAGCTTTAAGTTTGCTAGTGAGCGTCGTCCTTTTCAGCTTCTGTCTCTTTTATGCATCCTAAAACCTCACCTTCCTGATATTCCTTACAGTTTTAACTCTGATTTAAAAAGCAAACATGTTTGAATTCTGGGATTATATTTATCCGATACTGTAGCTGCATCTGCTGTCATGCTGTGTCGCACTGATCAATTCTGCTGAAAGAGAAGGGAGAACCTGTTGTAAATCCTCACAGGAGCTTACGGGAACAGCAGTGGTGTCATTAGCTGCTACATGTCACCTGCTGCAGGGCCTCTGCTGCCAGAACCCAAGCCCTTCTGTGTGTGTCACGATACTATTTGTGTCTGATAGTGTAGCCGTCTGCTTTTCTTTCTCACTTTCCGCGACCAGCTTAGGTGATTTGAAAATAGTATGTATGATGCCCATGACAATATTATGTAGTTACAAGAAGAGCTTTCTGAAAAGATTAGCATGAGAGGGCCTGAATAACGCACGGTAAAACACTCTCTACAAGACAGATGTTCGTTCTTGACCATTTGTTTTCATTTTTATAGTAAAAAAGTCATTTTTATTCAAACAGACTTGAAGTTCACTTCTTACAGGTTACGTCCTCCTGGAGTTCTCCATTATTTATTCCACTCCTTTCATGAACTCCAAGAACTCTGCAATAGAAGGATAGTGGAAATGCATGGAAAAGGGACACGATGGGATACATTTTTTTTTTGCATTTTTCTTTTTTTACTTCCATTTAACTTGAATGAAACACAATGCTTACTTACCATCATAATCAATTTTTCCATCATTGTTTTTGTCTCCGTCCCTCATCAGTTCCTCAATGTCATCTTCAGTGATGGTTTCACCTGTAGCTTCCAGCATCATCTTCAGTTCTTCAAGATCAATGTAACCATCTGCATTCCTGTCCAAATACAATCAAAACCCATCAGAAACCCCTAAACCCACCGCAGGTCAGTTCTCTTAGCTCAGTTTCAGATCAAACATACTTATCAAACATACGGAAGAGTTCTGCCAGCTCTTCCTCTGACTTTCCTTTGCTATCATCTTTCATGCATCTCACCATCATGACCAAAAACTCCTCGAAATCCACCGTACCACTGCCTGCATAAGTACACCGACAATTACTTATTTTAGCACAAGCTCATTTTAACGACAGTACCTCCATTGACATTTCATTTTTGGACATAAGTCTTTTATCCCTGTAGAATGTTTCTTTTGTTTTTCAGTTATTATTACTATACATTATTCAGTTAAATATGAAGATTAATATCAATGGTAAACATGTCATTAAAAAATTTAACTTACTACTTCGTAGTTATACAGATTATTTTAATGCTAGGTTTGGAGCAACATGAGGGTGAGTAAATGAAGTTAGGCTTCATTGCAAGTTAGGGTTCTCTGGAGCGTTACTAATTCTGGATCGTTCTGGACTTTACCGTCCTCATCCACCTCATCAATCATCTCCTGGAGCTCCTCCGGCGTGGGGTTCTGGCCCAGCATCCTCAACACCTTCCCAAGCTCCTTAGTGCTGATGCATCCATCCTCAGCATCCTGAATGAAAATATCAAATGCTGCGCGGAACTCTACAAAACACCAACACAGATCTTTAACTGTTAGTTGTGTACACGTACAGTTTCTCTCTCATGAACCACTTAATGATATTGTTATTGTGGGTCAGTTTAGTAAATCATTATTACCCACAGGCTATTGTTTTTATAGTTGGGTGTTAAATTCAGGCAGTTTTTTGTTTCATTGGTAGTGCTGCAATGTTACAAGTGTTTCAAATGTATAAACATACAGTACTGTGAAATAGCTATTCTATCATTGCATTGTATGTAAAATAATCTACAGATGGAGACTTTGAACAACTGACAGAACACTCTTTTCAGGCTGGGCCATCCCACCAAATTCACTTTAAAAGCAAAGCGTGAGATACTACAGGAAGTCCAAGAGAAGCCCAGGGTGTCATTATAGGATCTACAGCTCTTCACAACAAATGGAAATGAATTAACCATTAGAAAGAGGCTGATCCTGTTACTGTCCAACACCAAAATGTACTTCTAATACAATGTGCTATGTACAGACAGATGAGTCAACGTAGAGTCCAAACATCACGTTTGGCAAAAACCACTGCATTTGAGGAAAAGAACCTCATACCAGCTGTGAAGCACTACCGGAGTATTATAATTATTTGTGTGTATTTTGCCTTTTGCCAAATGTGCTGTCGTAATATAAACTACGAATTCTACATTATATCAAAGAGTGCTTGAGGATGACATGAGGCCATCTGTTATAAAGTTAAAGCTGAAGTGTAAGAGGACCTTTCGACACAA